TGTTTATCACTTACATTCTGTTATTGAAAACACAAGCAGACAGCACAGAAGCATCATCTTTGCACCACAAACAGCGAATGAAAAATGCACACAGATGTGAATTTTTATGAGATCCACCCAAAAGCTCCACCCATAGCTTGCAATGTATAAATGAAAACATTCAGAGATATCACGTTATGTGTGTATTAGATTTAGTTTGAAATATTGTTTTTTTTTAACGATATGAGAATGGGGAAAAAACTAGGCTACAATTGTATAATTGAATTAAATTCTTCCGAAAATGCCAAGTTTTGCAAATTTATGTATAAAGGTTTTTTTTTAATGAAATCATTTTTTAAAAGAATCTTTTTCTTTCTTTCATAAAAAAACAGAAATATTAGATAAAAATGCAATACATAAATACATGAAAATACAATATATTGTAATGCTTAAAATATACAATGAGTAAAATGAACCAAAATCTATATTTAATCTTTATTTAAGCATATGATCACAGTGAAGGTAAACCAGTGCTTTTAGAAAGTTTCAAGGACATTATTTTAATTCTATTATTGTCATAGAGGATATTTAACATTACATAATAAAGACTTCCCATAGAGGTTTTTGTACAGTGTTCTTGTGTTTCCTGTTACTGTGGACTCCAGAGAACAGTAGTACAGAGCAGAATCTGTGACTGCAGCAGAGGAGATCTCCAGATGGACCTGCTTCTCCACCTTATTCACACTGGCATTCATTCTTGGGAAAGGGGGTTCTGCATGTAGTAAACTGTTTGATTCACAAACAAGAAGCAGAAATTCAGGTCTGGATCCAGGATATTGTCGATACCAATGTAAACTACGTGCTTGGCCATCATATTTGTATGAGAGAATAACTGTCTCTCTCTCAGTAGCATGTTCTGTGCTCTGCAATGGTGCTATTGACTGGGCAAAAGATTTACCTGCAAATAGAGCATGAAAAACATCAGGAAAAATACACGCAGAATGTTCAGTATGAAGTTATGTAAATTGCAAGTTATTGTAAATTACATTATCATGTATTTACATAAATAAATAGTATTTTTGGTAAATATATCTTATAGATCTAAAGTAAAACAATTAATTAAACCTACTCACCCTGTATGGCTAAAATTACAAGTAGGTATAAAAGAGAAGCCATTTTTGCATTGCTAAAGAACAGACTGAAGTCAAATAAGAGATGAATCCCAACACAATATCTTGAAGCTCCACCCACATTATCTCTGTGTGCTTATGATTACATAAAATGTGATAAACTCTCAGAAAAAAAGGGTGCATAGTATCTTGAAGGTACATATTGCAGAACCTGATTTTACCAAGTGCGACATGTTCCTGGATCAACATCTTTGTTGACGCTGGAACAACATTGTGATTAACCAATCAGGTTTGAAGAACCAGTTTATAGTTTTTGTGAAGTTTAGGCTTACAATCAGTGTTCGGTGCATGTACATCAGTGTCATTCATCTATAATTTCCTTTGATTTTAGGGATTACTCATGGTTAAGGTGTAGGGATATGGTCAAGACTACATTTTTGTTCCAGGGTCAACAAAATATGCTAATACCTCAGCAAAATCAGGACGTGCGGTACATATTAGTGCCTAAATTATACATCATAGAACTTTTAAAAGGATACTGCCCCAGTACGGACTTTTGTGCCTTTTGTTTTCTTCATGAGAGTGTACATTTGAAAATCCATTTTGACTACTAATATGTAGTATTTCATATGTGAAAAGGTACTGTCTGGTATATTCATAATCATCACATCTGGCATCATATCAAAATGGCGACTTTTTGACAACAAACTTGAGTGGGTAATCATGATTAGATCACAGATTAGTTCATGCTTTAATAAGGAATGATTTATCAATATTTTTGTATTTAAACTCCAGGACAATCTCTGAAATGCAGTAATGAGAAAAGTCAGAAAACTTTCATCATTGTGCAGCATAACATAATAATAATGCACTCGATGCGCTGACAAAATTAGGACTAAAATGTGTCAAAATGTATACTGCATACTGGAAAGAACTATTAGAGTGGTTTACTAAATGCATATCCTTAAATTCTGGTTAAATGTATTTCAGTATTCTGTTTTCTTGAACACAAGGTCAGTTGTTGCTAAGAAGACAATCATAAGGCAATTGAAACTCATTGGCTCCCAATGCTGGATCAAAATGTTCAAATATAAACAAGCATAATCATCCACTGAGCACAGACGCTGAATTCTATTTTAATGGGTTTCATTTTTGTACAGTGTATGTGTGTTTCCTGTCACTGTGGGCTGCAGGGCACAGTAGTACAGAGCAGAATCAGTTAATGCAGTGCCAGTGATCTCCAGATCCACACGATTTTTCTCCTCATTTAATCTAGCAGATATTCCAGGAATTGGAGGATCAGCCGGTTGCTTAAATGCAGCTTCATTAACTAGAAACAGGAAGTCTGGTCTGGATCTCGGGTACTGACGATACCAGTGGAGAGCATCTGTAGCAGCTGATCCATTGTAATTGCAGGACAGGGTGATTGTGTTCCCTTCTGAGACTAATTCATTAGGAGAGACTGGTGCTATTCCCTCACTAGAGGCATCACCTAGCAGAAACAGAGAAAGATAGATGGGAATAATGAATGGAGATGAACAGAACTACAGAAGTAAAGTACTTTATATTATTGTGTTCTTAGTAATGTTTATTTGATTAATGCATGTATCTCTTACCTGTTAAGAGGGAGATGAGCCACAGACAAAACAAGAAAAGCATTACTGACAAGGAGCAAATGAGCAACTATGTTTAACTATGTCTGAAACCTCAGCATGCCTGAAATAATTGCCTTGGATCTCCTCCCCTTATGTGCCCTTGAAGAAATGGTTCAGTTTCTATTAATTTTTGGTTGAAGACTGCCCTCTTGTGGATCATTTTAGCCATCACATCACAAGCATCTATATCCATACATTGGCATAGAGTCATCAAATAGAATCAAATTCCATAAAGGATAATTGTGAATATTTGAACTTTTGCCTCTTAAGGAACAAGAAAATCATCTGGCTCTAGTTAGTATCAAATATCACATCACATTACGATGCATACAACTTAGTGTATGTTAACACTCAGAACTAGAACAGGTGCCGCCTTGTGGTTGTCATGGGTTTATTTAAAGCAAGTTTATGAAGTTTATTTAATGTTTTGTTCATTTTATATTTTAGTCATAGGGTGTGAGTGATAGATAGCTGCTTTCACATGCAATTGATTGTCATGGATATTTCAGCAGTTTGCTTGTACATTCAGTTTAACAGCATTAAACTGATTCAGCTGAACTTACTGTATGTATATGCATTTATATGCATTAAACACTTACATTGTTCTTTCTTAAATTATGTTCTTTTTTGGAGCTAACTTATGGTTTTATGATTACAGCTGTGCATTTCTGCACTAAAACAGTAATATGTAGAGGTAAAAGTGGTTAACTAGTATAAACCAGGGCTATGGAGTTTACTCAGAAAAACAAAGAAATTATTTGAAATAGAGATTTAATTTCAACACCATTTGTGTATTGCACATGGAGTATGGTTGGAGGATTTTGTACAGCGGTGTTGTGTTTTCTGTCACTGTGGGCACCAGGGCACAGTAGTACAGAGCAGAGTCTGTCACTTCAGCAGAGGAGATGATCAGATCCACTCGCTTGTCTTTCATACTCATTTCACCATCCAGTCTAGGAATAGGGGGATCTGCATATACTACAGACTTCGTGGATGACTCAACGACAAGGAGCAGAAATTCCAGTCCAGATCCACGATATTGTCGATACCAAAGTAAACTCTGTACACTGCCATCATATGTGCATGCCAGATTGACTGACTTCCCCTCGGTAACTTGTGTTCTGTCCTGCAGTGGTGTTATTGTCTTTGCAAAGCATTCATCTGTAAAATGCGTGTATAGAACTTGTTAATAAAAAGAATGAAAATGGTAAAGTATGACAAAGTATGAATAAATGCTGTTGAATTATCATAAAAACAGACAGACAATTATAAAAACAGGTGATATAACCTATATATAAACTTTTACTTACCCTGTATTATTAACAGCAGAATCAGAATGCACAGGAACATCATGATTGCACTGTAAAAACAAAATGAAGCTCATAATTGAGAAATGAAAGTCTCTCTCAAAGCTCCACCCACAATCTAAAAAAATCTGTAAAAAGAAGGCACAACGTACTGTATATTCAAATTAAGGAATTTTCCGTATTGATTTTTTTTTTTAAACAGGTGTTTTACCTGTATTTTGTATTTTGCACTGCATTGCATTGTGTTTTTGCTTTAATGGAAATGGCCATTAATATGGATAATGTCCATGATTACCTTTTTTTAAACAGTGCACACATCTTATTATCTGAGGTTTAAATGTTTAAGAATTTGGCCAAAATTAATGAATAGCAGAGAAAGAATGAGAAAAGAATGCATGATTTTACATGGGTGTGATTACATGCTGTAAAATCATTGCTGAATTTCAAATTTGGAAGTTTATTTGTGTCGCATCAGTTAGACGTACTTCTTAAAATATTCTGTATAGATTTGTTTTCTACAGTAGTGCTCTTTTTTTTTCCAGTTGATTTTATTAATGTTTAAGTTTTGAAGTGCATGTGTAGCCATTTCTCAAGTGTGTTTTCCCTTTTACAACAACAAAAAAAAAGTGGATGTATAGCTTTAACGTACATGTCTATTTCAGTTTCAGGCAGCTGCAGGTGTTACCACAAACTCATTATGTCCTAATTTGACTGTTACCTATATCAGGTTTGGTGATTCATCTGCACTTCAAAGGCAACACCAATACAGACAGAGATGAATATCAGTTTAAACTAGAACTGTGCTAGAAATGAGTTATTCTTGAACATCAAAGCACAGTGACAACCTAAGCTTAGTAAGACGAGGAGATGCATTTTAACAACTTTTTACTTTTATTTGCACAATGAAATTAGCACAGCAACACACAAAAAAATCATCTGAACTGATTAAATGGTTAGTGTATATATAAATAAAATTGTGATGTATAAAACAAGTTGAGAAACATATATCTTTGCTCCATTTGCTAAATACATTTCTCTCTGCTTCATGTTTTCGTACAGCGTAGCTTTGTTTCCTGTGACTGTGGGCCTCAGAGCGCAGTAGTACACAGCAGAGTCTGTCACTGCAGCAGAAGAGATCTCCAGATCTACTCGTTTTGTGTTTTTATTAATTCTTGGTGTTAAGCGCTGTGGTATGTTGTCACTCATCAGCCCACTTTCATAGATGTAGAGGAGGAACTTTGGTGTAGATCTGGGATATTGATGGTACCAGTGGAGATTATCAGGTGCTCCACTGTAGTTACATGTGAGTGTTACATTTTTACCTTCTAAAACTTGTTTTTGTGAGTCATGCAACGTTATCATGTTTGTCAGGATGTCACCTATGAGAATCAAAAATAAATAAATGAAATAAACAAGAAGACATAAAATCAGAATCACAATCTCTTCATTAATTGAAGTCATAAATTCTGAGAAATGAATCAAAACTCACCTGTATGAAGAACCAAAATGAGAAAGACAGGAAGGCACACGTTGGTTGATGCTCTTGACAGAGTGATAGTGTGATTCCACATTAGAAAATAAGCCAAGTCAAACTAATCTTAGAGCTCCACCTCTTGACACATTGCCGTACCCACTGTGAGAAAAAAGCAAAAAAACATTGACACTCATGATTGTACTGTTGCAGTTCTTATTTATATATGAGATGAGTTGATGCGCAGACACTATGGTCAATATGGCTTTGACATGACATGGCATGAGAGTAAACCTTTTAGTGACTAAGCACTAAAAATATTCACACTGTAGCCTATATAATTAAGAGACATGCAATATATTGCAATATATTTTGTGTAAACAAACAAGAATTAGGGAAGAACAATGTTAAAAAAATAATAATAAATGCACTTGCAAAAATTTGTCTTCACCTATTCAGACTAGTTCTAAAGAGCTATGCCCTAAAAATGAAGTCATTGGAGACTTAATTCTGCAGTGAGGATATAGATATTATTTGCATGTATCAAACATTTTTAAATGTTTGCTGGTCTGTGTGAAATTGATGGATTATGAATAAAATCTCCAACCTGATCTCACAGAAAAACCTAGCAATTTTACAAGGTGGTGATTTCTTGTGAATTCATATGATGTGAATTGTATGAAAATGTGTCATTTTTAGAAAAACGTAAGCATGAAAGCCCTTCCTTTGCCCCACTGCTACATTTAATAGTCACTGATGCGAATGAGATTGAGAAATAAGATTCATACGAATTCATCACGAATGCATACGAATTAGCCACTAACTTAAAATAGTTAAAAAAGCCATTAGGTTGTTGAAATCTCTGCTTATGTATATGAATTTCATTGTCAAATTTAAATACCCTTTAACCTCTACTCACCCTTTTCACATAGAGAGAAATAAACAGTGAAACATTAGTTTTAAGAACATCATTTTGCTCTCTCTTGATAATAAACAGTCTTCTGTAATGATTCTTTTCCTCATTTTAATCTAATAAAATAATGGCAATTAATTCACTTTGATTGGTGATAATCACTAAATAATAAATAGATTTTAAAATAATAATAATAATAATTTCCTGAACAGTAGAATTACTGTGTGATTCAGAATAGATGTGAAACATATGTAGTGCAGTGTTTCTATGGTATTAGTATATTTTTCAGTAGTTAAATATGCTTTGTTAAGACAGATTTAGGTTTTTGTACGGCGCTGCCAGGTTTCCTCACACTGTGGGCTTCAACGCACAGTAGTAAACTGCCGAGTCTGTTACTTTCGCAGAGGAGATCTCCAGATCCACAGAGGTTTTCTTTTCATTTAATTTCACGGACATTCCAGGCTGCATGGTTTCAGACTCCCCGCTGTTTTGTAGTATCAGAAGAAGGAAACCTAGAGTTGATCTTGGATATTGACGATACCAATACAAAGAAAGGGCTGTGGAGTAGTTGCAAGACAGTGTTATTTTATCCCCACTCTTCCCATACACCTCAGTTTGGACAGGAGTGATGACATCTTCACTGCGGCCAGCTGAAAAAGAGAAATGAGTATTGGTAAGTATAGGTTTATTACGGTGTTGTATTTTGGTTGACCTGAACCTGACCTCAGGAGCATTTATTGTACAATTCTAATGAAGAAAAATCAGAAATGTTTGTGGTTATAAGATTAAAGGTATTAAAATTAAACTGAAATTGAGCTTCTCACCTCCAAATGTAGATAGAAAGCTAAGTAAACAGAGCAACATTGTTCAGGCCGATGTTCTGACTGACAGCTCAGCTTGTAGCTAATCTATTTGAAAACCACATCCTCAGGATGGCCTAGATGGTGTCAAAACACTAAAGCCCCTCCTACTGACCCCAAACACACATGTTTTAGGTCTAGAGTTGTGGGTCCAGTTTAAAAAAAAAAAAAAGCCTCTAAATTATTTGCAGAACAAACATGTTAACATAAGAAATTCAAGCTGGATATTTTAGTTTTTTATACAGCTGAATCAGACTTAACTCAAAACCCAAGTTCATCACCAAAACAGAATACATCTAGACACATAGTGATTAAACTCGGTCACAGACTATAAATCTTTGAATTTGTTTCATACCTGTTTAATTGTGGTTTTAACAATTTGTCTAATGGTTTGGATTTGTTATATATCTTTCTGAGAAATTACACGGATTTTACATGGATATTTAAGATTTAGGTCAGTAATCTAGAGCAATATCATTCTGTATATGTACATGTTCTGCATTTCAACACTTTTGTATTCACAGTAAAACTGCTGCTTTATTGAATCTATTAATCTCTTGGTTTTGCCCACTGTATCAGTTGCAGGTGTTCCCACATACAGTAATGGTTTTGGCAGATAATACATTTTGGTTTGGCTAAACTTTGATGTTTTTGAATTCAAAGTAGGTGTGTTTTTGTAAAGCTTCTCAGAAACTTTGTATCACTGGGTCTTTCCAAAGAGCACAGTAATAGAGAGCTGAATCTTTCAGAGTGGCTGCTTTAATAATCAGTTCAGTGGATGTTCTGGTTGTTGAAGATTCAAAATGAGGATCTGGTATATGTCTCCTGCCATCTCTTGACCGTGCACCTTTCCACAGTATATACTGTGGCTCACTGTTAGGATACTGTCTGTACCAGTAAAGATCAATGGCTTCACTGCTTGTTTCATATGAGCAACTCAATGTCACCCGGTTGGTTTCATCTTGAATAATAACAGCTTGATTTGGTTCAATGCGATCACCAAGAGCAACTGTAAAGGAATTAAAAAGTGGTATGTGAAAAAGATAAATATCAAAATGTAAGTTTTGAAATTATACATTAATATTCCTAGAAATTCATATAAATTTTACATTAAATACCTGATGCAGCTATTAGTACTAGAATCAGTACTACTGATCTCTTCATCCTGAATTTACTGATCAGCTGTGTATACTGTTCACAATCTTTTAAAGTCACATCCTATTGCTTGTCACATGTCAACTTTGTACACATGCTTATGATGTTAAGCATCATAAAAAGTGCTGCCCCCTTGTGGCATTTGTGCACACTCTCTGGTCTCATAGGTTGATCTAAACCATTTTGTTCTCTGTTTAGCTCTGAGTAGGTTTTTGTATGGTGTTCATGCGTTTCCTGCCACTGTGGGCTGCAGTGCGCAGTAATACACAGCAGAGTCCTTCACATCTGCAGGAACGATTTCCAGATTCACCATCTTGTTATCTTTATTAACTGAAGCTGTCAGCCGAGGATGAGGAGGTGTAGCCGTTTGATTTTGTCCCGACTCCATGATTAGAACAAGAAATTCCAGCATAGAGTCGAGATAATGTCGATACCACTGTAGATTATTCATCGACACAGTGTACTTGTATTTACAAGAGATCGTCACTTTTTCATTGACCTTTGCATGGACTACAGGAGATGTTGGGGTAATGCTGTCTTGTATACTCGCACCTGAGAAGAATGTTGAAATTGAATTAGCATTTTAAAGAGAGTCAAATCAAACCACATTTATTTGTATAGCTCTTATACAATACCGATTGTTTCAAAGCAGCTTATCAGAAATAAACAGGAAAATAACAGTGCAACTCTACAGAAGACAATTGTCATTATTCAGCTTGAGTCAGTTCAATGTTGATTCAGTTGAGCACAGTAACTTTGCAAAGCAACTAAAGTTTGCATCAAATATGCACTGCTAATCTGTAAAGAAAGGAAATGTATCTATAAAACTGAAATCTTACCAATGAATGCCATTAAAACTAGTAGCAAACAGAAAGCCATTGTTTAGAATGATGAATTCCTCCTGAGCTTTGCAGAACTACCAGAACAGCCTACATACAGACAACTGAAGCTAGTGTTTTTTAACACCCAATCACAGTGCAGTGATGTCTCTGGCAGGTGTCACCAGATGCTATAGACGTCGAGGGGCTGATACAAATGCATAAACTGATGTTCTTGTGATCTCCAATCGTCGAAACAAAATGTTAGTAAATCAATATAGCTCGCTGACTTAAAAAGCCACTGTATGTACTGTATGTTTACCAGCTTGAGAACATTTTAAATTTTAAAGTGCTGTGTATAAAGCAAAACAAAACATCCAAATTTAATGTGACAGATATCAGGTTTTTATATTTGTTCTTTTAGGTTAGGTTTATTTCATATTGGTAAGACAAAGGACAGGAGTTTTAATATATGGCTAAGTTTTTATTTTATTTTCAGTAATGATGTTAATCCGATGTATTAATATTATATAACAAATATTTTAGTTTCATTACTATATTTTATTTTTATTTATTTAATCTTAAGATATTACGTTGATATACCAAAATGTATAATTATGTAATATATATATAATATATTGTATGTAATGTTATTTTATGCTATGTATAAATGTTTTCATATTCTTTTGTAATATAATGCTAACTATTTTATATATAAATACTATATATATATATGTATGTATATGTTTTATAGAATATATTATGAAGGGCCGAACAGGAAATAATTATATACAATCTGAATATATAAATGTAAATTGTGAATATATAGATGTAAATCAGAATATATTTTTATAATTTTAAATTTATACATGTAAATCAGAATATATAATTTTAAGTCTGAATATTTGGAAGTAAATCAGAATATATATTTATAAATCAGAATATAAAAATAAAAGTCTTAATATATATAATGTAAATCATGAATATATAGAAGTAAATCTGTCTACATATCGCAATTTATATTTATATATTCAGTTTTACTTCTATATATTCATGATTTACATTTATATATCAAGATTTTTATCTTTATATTCTGATTTACATTTATATATTGTGATTTAGAAATATTTACTTCTATATATTCAGACTACGACTTGCATTTATATATTCAGATTTATAAAAATATATTCTAATTTTCTTTTATATATTTACAATTTACATTTATATATTCTGATTTTATATAATACTTTCCTGTTTGGCGCTTCATAATATGTATACATATGTTTTATAGAAATCATATACAAATGTTTTAGCTATAAGTAGCTATTAAGTAATTTTTAAATTCATGTTGTTGGTGCTTTATTTATCAGCATTAATTTGTGTAACGTTTATCACATACAAACAGTGAGAATGGCAACAAACTATTACGTGGGCTGTGAAGTTCAGGTTTTTGTTTGAATACTCAGTATCCTGTTTTCACAGTGGGCCTCAAAGCACAGAAGTACAACGAAGAGTCAGACAGATGAAGGTTCTGGATAGTCAGTGAAATTCTTCTTGCAGCAGAATCCAACTGGGACTGAAATCTTTTGTTGGGGAAGTCTTTGGAATTACTTCCATTTCCAAAATTATGTCTTACTAAAATATATTCTGGAGATAAATTCTTTGTTTGCCTGTACCACAGCAGAGCAGGCATTGTGTCTGTCATATTATATTCACAGTTCAGAGTTGCAGTCTCTCCTGTGTAAGCTGAAGAAGAGCTTGGTGACTGACGTACAGTGTGTTGCCCTCTGCATTCTGTGGAGAGCATAAAATGTTATTAACTCACACTACCTCTCACATCACATTCTCAAACAACAGAAATTAATAAATAGAAAGTGCCGTACCTAGAAAGAATACCACAAAAAGCATATCCCTCAGCCAAGTTCTCATGATGGACCAAAAGCAATTTGCTACAAAGAACTGAAAGCAGTTACAGAGAACAGAGAACTGATTCATGCTCTCTGTAGAACCTCTGAACTGTCAGGGTTGTGTATCCTTTCATTGTAGGTCAAAACTCTGGGTGCTCCCTGCTGGTATAATGTAAAAATGCAGCATCATTCTCATGTTCATGATCATCTCCTGAACTTCAATTTGAAAAAATATCAGCGTCAGGACCAAAAAAGAAAGCTTGGAAAGAAGATTAAAACATATTCATGACAGAAATCAAGAAATTATGTTCACAGTGACAATATTCACTGTAACCAATACAGTATTTTACTGTAAACAGCAAAGGATTATGGGAACATATATGTTCACTCCTGTATTTCTTCACTACTGTAAATCCATTTACAATAAACTAGTAGTGAACTTGCCCGCGAAAAACTGACCAACGGCAAGGGAGATTTCTTTTTTTTACTGTTTGGTGGAAGTGGCGGAAAAAGGACAAAAGAGGAATGATGTACCCTTAACTCGACAAAAGGACGCAACCTATGCTTTTAATTGTTTTAATGTTTATTTTATTCATGTCTGAATAAAATTTAAATGCTTTATTAGTTTAATCAAAAAAAATTTTTTTATAATTTGGTTTCTGTTTCACTGTAATGATTTTTGGTCTAGAAGTAAGTTTCTTGCTTTTTGTGTGAGAATACAAGATAATTCTACTGATACTCTACTGGCTCCATACTAGTTAGGCTTGGTACAGGTGTTACCTCAACACTAGATGGTTCTGAAACGGAAATTAACTTAAGAGCAACACTGTGGTTGGATGGACATGGAACAGGTGATGGCTCTGGATCAGCAGGATCAGTCAGATGTCATCTCAAGACTGGAGAGACCTGAGTTACATGATGGCTCAGGATCAGCCGGATCGGCATTAACTGTCAGCTCGACACCAGATGGACATGGATCAATTGATAACATCCATTCAATGCCGGACAGAGCTGGCTGGATATCCGCTGGATTGCAGTATAGATCTGAGGTCATCATTTTGCTGATGGAAAGTTTCATAGCCTTCCATGTTCGCTTGAAGAATGCCTTGATGCCTTTCTTTTTCTTCTTCCTCATCTTTGTTTGTTTTTCTAAAAAAGAAATTAAAATAAATAAAAAAGCAAAAGACATTTCCACCAAAAACAATCTCAACACTACCTTAGGTTGCACCTTGGCATGAACACAAAAGCACTTTGTTTGCTTTTTGTGAACAAATGTTATGTTTTTTACATAAAGGTAAAGTTGTTTTTTAAGAGTACTAGCTTAAATTTTCCATTAACAATGACAGTAGACTCACCAGCATCTGGCTCAAAACTGGATGGACCTGGGACAGCTTTTGGCTCTGAATTCCCCTGATCACTGCCAGGTGTCAGCACGACAGAGGATAGACCTGGATCAGTCATTAACTCACAACCAAGGCTAGATGGACCTGGTTGGGAATCCACTTGATCTCGTTGTGTCATTGGCTCAACAACAAGTAGATCTGGGGTCACTTTGTTGCCCCTGCCACAGGAGAGGGCAGCATGCTTAACAGCCCTCTGTGCTCGCAGGAACAATGCACGAATGCCTTTCTTCTTCTTCAGTTTTTTCTAGAAAAAGAAATAGAGAGATAGAAATAATATTACCACCAAAAACCATAAGTCAAATACTGAGACAAAACATCATGAAGAAGAAAATCATAGGATGAAGTTAGGTGCTACAACTGGTAAAGCTGGACACTTCAGCTGCATCATCTCTGCTGTTATTTTATAATCTTTCATAATAGAAATCAAACATAAAGTTAATCCTCAACTAATATGATGCAACAAAAAAATCCTTAGTTGTGACTTAATTTCAGGGGGCATGTCATATCACATTTGGACAGAATGAATATGAAATATGAATATGAAAAATAACTTTAGCATAAATACAAACTTTATAATATTTAAATTCAAAGAAAAAATAGAATGATTACAGGATAACTCAAGAATTAAATGCTTTCATTAAAAAAAAAACTGTCAGAGGATGAAAAGACTGAAATACATAAACTCAAGCAAATGGATAAGTTATACTCAGAATTTGCTAAAGGAGCTTATGTGAGGTCAATTTGGTTTTGGAAATAAATGTATTAAAACAGTTAAAGTGGTTTACAAAGGAATTAATAGCTCAATATATTACAGGTTAATACCTCTAGGAGCTATTATCAATCAGGGGGTGTTTCCCGAAAGAATTGTTAGCTGGTTGTAAGTTCCACTGAACTCTGTTAACGACGAAACTTGTGACCATAGTTGCTTTTGGATAATGCACCCCAGTATAGTAAGAAAGCGTAATTATTTAACATTCCAGTAAAGGAATGTATGAAATATTTAAGAATTGTATCAAAAAAAGTTATCAGTTCGGCAACAGCTTAATTTTAACAACAAAGTTAAGAAAACAAAATTCATATTTGATAATGGATGTAAAGAAATGAACAGGTTGCTGGTTACTTTTTGCTGGTAAAATTAACACCGCCATCTTAAAAAAGTAGTGATTGCTGGGAAAAAATCTGAAAAAGAATTTGATATGCTGGATTATGTGAAAATAAAAAATGCTTCCTAGATCAATTGGATCAAAAAATGTATTGGTGATCCTTATCTGTATTATTCAGTTCTTTGATAAACTTGGTCATAGTGTTGGTCTTTAATGAACTGGTTTACATTTAACAGGAATTTGACAGGAATATATTCATTTGCTCATGTCTGAAATAGACATCAAATTAATCCTTCCGCTTTTTTGTGCATATCACAACTATATTATTACTATTATTGTATAAATGATATTTGGTGGCCTTCAACCAAAGTGGTAAATGGAAATAAATGTACATGCAAAAATAATAGACAGAAAGAAATTCATATACTTATATTCCCTGTCTATAAAAAAATCACTACTTTTGAGTAGATAACTTGAGTAGATAATTATCACTGCTTGATATGATATCATACAGCCACAAAAGACATGTATTTCACAAATAATTCAGCCAGTGTACTGAGCCTAAAGGACCACTAGATGGCAGATTAATCCTAGAATAGTCAAAAGATAGACCATGATATTGTACTTTTTTCATAAAAACATATTTTTCTAATGTACATTA